CTATTAAATTTTGGGATACCATGGTATTCGATGGTTAACCATGGCACAAGTGAAAAAGCAGCCACTATTAACTATTAAATTAGTTATTTTTGACTAATTCATTTTTAGAGAGTATACTACAATTATAAAATGATTTTGTTCGGACCAATAATGTGATTGTTTTGTAAATATTAATGTTTTGTTATTTTAAATTTGTTAGTAGATCCTCTTAGCAAGTCCTTTACAACACTCTTAATGTAATAAGGGATATGAAAATTGATTACAAGCTTTTTCCAGCGAACTTATAAGTATATATACCTATAGGTACTTATATTTGAACTTGTTAATAATTAAAATTTAAAAAATCAAGGCGCCCACTCATGGCAGTCTAAGATTAACCATTATTTAATGTAATTATAACCTTTTGTCTAATTCCTGATGGATTGCAGCTAGGGGCTACCGTGACCAAAATATTAAAAATATTTTTGAGTTTTATATTTTTTAGCATTTTATTTATTAGAAACTTGAAATCTCCGGGGTATTTTTTTTTAATCCGTTTATGTTTTATAGTAAAGCTGGGTCCTGAAATATTTATACCTACCCTTATACTAGAGTTTTAAAGTGTCGAAAAAAATGGCCTTAAAAATGTCTTTTTTGGAATAAGTTGATTTTTTTTGAAAATACATACATACATTTGAAAAAAGTAGCAATCAACAACCTAACATTATTTATTATTCATAATATCATTTTCTTAAATCAATTTAATTTAATTCAATGTTTAGTTTTATTTTTTTTTTTAATTAAATTAATGTTAAGTTGTTGATTGCTACTCAGAAATTCACTTTTTTCTCGATATCAGTGTACGGATAGTACCTACATATCTATAAATATTTGTAAATTTTTAGAAAAATTTCCTTTTGCATTTTTTCGTTTTACTCTTTGAATAAAATGAGAAAAATGCAATGAGTCAATTTTTCCGCCGGCTCAATTTTTCCGGAAATTTAAAAACCCTAAATTTTAGATTTAGTTTTTTGTTGGACTGAGAGAGACTACTTAAGATTTGGGGGCCCCTCTGGACCGGGGGCCCGGGGCAGACCGCCCACACCGCCCCCTTAGTCCACCACTGGTTCGAATGTATAAAGTAATTTTTTTATACATTTATTTGATTGGAAACTTGTTTTTATTAGCCCATATCTGTCAGCATTCCTTTTCTTTATTTAGAGTGGAAAGTAGACATTTTAAGGAAAAAATGTTAACGTTTAACAAGAATCTATACATTTTTAACGGATTCGCATAGCTGCTCTCAAGTTGATTTACAGGTATTTGTTATGAATTACATGATATAGAATTACAGTACTGTAATTTATATAAGCATATTTCAGGTAATACTTTTTGATGATACCCTGTATAAACAAAACGATTTTGCTACGATAAATAAATAAAATCGAAGTTAATAACAGGATGAAAATAATTTAGGAATGTATCCTGGGGTCAAGGATGCGCATCACTTTTATTTTTACCAATGCGTGACATTTCTCTTAATACCGGTTAACATTTAGATGTTAATAAACTTTTTCGTTATAATGCGAAATTCGAGCCTTGACACTTTAAAATCACTTTTCAACAGGATTGTTCGTGTATCAAAAATCATGATCGACATCAACATATTTTTACATTTTTGAAATTCAATTAATCAATCAATTAATTAGTCAACAAATTGTGAACAATGTCAGATTACGTGGTATCCATAGATACCGTCAACTCACCTGTCACAGGTTTCTTGATACAAAATAATATTTAATATATATATTTTATATTTTAATATTTATGGGTGATTCTACATAAGTTGGGCAAGTTTTGACCTCATTTTGTTTATATAGTTTTCGAAGAAAATTAAACAGTATTTTGTTATGAGAACATAGATAATATAATAAATATACTGTTCCAGACCGGGCCAGTCACTTTTTCAAACAGTTTCTGAAATATCTGTGTTTTCTAAATTTGAATGCAAGGGAAGTGACGTGTATACCAGGGTACTAATTAAATACATAATTTATTGGAAAATAAAAGATTTGTTGCAACTTTGAGCATATTATACATTAAATATCTTAAAATCAAATAATACCACACATCAGTGGCGGCTGGTGGATTTTGGGTATACCGATATCTCAATTATTAGATATGGGACCTACACCAAATTTATATGAGTTTATAATAACATTAAATAAACAAGTTCTGCGCAAGCAGAATTTAAATTGAAGTTTGCGAAAAAAAGATAACCAAAACATGGAACTGACGACATGGTACTGATGAATGGGATACAAATTTGAGATTATAATTCGGAATTAAGTATTTAACTGATATTTTTTATTAGTGGATGCTACTTATTAACAAATTACATATAGCCTTATATAAATTACAATGAAATATATATATACGTAAGAAAATAACTACTCACCACAGTACTGAAATTTTGACTGGAACTATACGTGCATTCACCACAATTTCGCCGCTTGCATTGTTTTCAAGATGACTATCGTGCAAAGGGCGGGCTCTGTAGGTATTTTTTTACCAACACTTGAGTTAAAACGAGGACTTGACGTTTAAACTTCAATATTTCGCAGGAATTTTGAATTTTAACATTGGACACAGAACTGATGGGTAAAAGTGAGTACAAAGATTATCAATTTTTTAAAAATTGCTATTATTCGAATCCATGATAAAATATGAAAAATACAATATTTAATGTTTTATAGTTTGTAGTGAAATTAAAAAATTTAAGATAAATTGAATATATTTAAAATAAAATCACTCAAATATTTCAGGAGTTGTGACACACCAAGGTACTGATGTTTTGAATATTTATTATGTTTTTCTACAAACGTGCTTTTGAAAAAATACATTAAAATTGGGTGGACAAGTTAAAAAAACCTGTATCTCTCGTAATATACTAAAATATTTACAAAAAAATATTAAAATACCTACTCTATTGACTGATGACATCAAGTTGTCCAACTTTTGTAGAATCACCCTTATATTTAATATATTGGTTGGTATCTATGTACTCACAGATCATTAATTACATAATACCCTGTATAATACAATAATATTTAATGTAGTAAAATAATACTCATGTTTATATTGTAATAAGTAGCACTTATGTGTTTATGGTACAAAACAAAATTAATTAAATAATTTGACACAGATACAGATGGAAAAATTAAACAACTTTGCAAAAAGCACGTAAACTATAAAAGTTCGGAAAGTTATCGTTTTTAAGATCTATTAACAAATAAATTTACATTTTACAAATTGATTAATTAAAAAATTATACAGGTAATTTATTTTATCCAGAATTAAAAATATTCAAACATAATTTATTTCTACTTGACAGTAAAACGTTCATAGAATTCACTGTCAATCGTCTTTAAAATTGGCACACAATTAAAAAATAATATAGACAATTATATTTTTAAAAAATCAATGACATGTGTAAACGTTACATAAGATGATATATACAGCCATTGTTATTATTATAGTTATTACTTTTATAAACTATTCTCTGTGCATTAATATAGCTAGACAATTAATATTATTCTTATAGTGTCCTTATTCCTAAAGTGGTCATAAAAATATTTACGAAGGTTGCTGATATGTCGATAATTTCATATTTTGCATATAATTTCCGCCTATGATATAAGATATTTATCCCCCATTGTTTTTTTTCTTATGTTTATATGGAAATTTATAGCATACCTACACAGCAAACGGAAAATTATAGAAGTGTATAGGATGACGCCACGTTTGAATATTGTTTTCTAAATCTCCCCACGGTATAGAGTTGTATTCGTCAGTCGAGCTTTTCAATACTCTCCACAGTATAGAGGTCGTAATTTCACTTTTGAACTAGTAATAAAATGAAAACTATTTTATGCTTCAAAAAAAACTATATACGACATGATTTTTTTCATTTTATTAATTAATTAAACTGTGTTGAAAATTTTTCCTAAAGGAATAATTGCCAATGGGCCATTAATTCATTTGTTCGTAGATGCTACAATAACCTGCACTGGTGTATACTTTTTGATCAACCAGATTTAAATATTGCTGATCTAACATAAAACTTCCAGTAGAGATGTGCAGGATCTACCAACAGACCTCATTACTAAATTATTAAAGTTTAATAGCATATCGATCATTTTTTCAACATAACCTCTGAAATTTTTAATACAATTATAGGTACTTTATATAATACATAAATATACTTTACATCATATCCTCTGTGATTTACATACCTGAGTTATAACGGTAAATGAATATCAGACAAAGGAACCAAAGAAAGGAATTATTTTCAACAAAATCATATGCAGAAATGAGAATAATCAAACTACTTGCATCCATCAAAAGATTAAAACTTCTTGCAATATTACACCCTCTTTTTATACTCTCAGAAATATTGACTAGAATAGTATTAGAGAGTCTCCAGTTTCTATAACTTGGTAGAGTAAAGAGAAGTCGAAACCGTTCCGATATTGCATTGCGCTGTTTTTGTATAATTCTCGGGGACATTAACGAAAATCATTGCCAGTAAAATTCAAAAAGCTTGAGTTTCTATGTCTCTAAAGAGAATAGGAATCCGAAGTTGCTGCACCATTGAACTGAACCCTTTTTTAATAATTTCTAGAGACATAAATGACTGCACCATTCGACAGGGTCGAGTTTCTACCTCTCTTTTGAATATAGAAAATCAAAATAATGTATCTTGTAAGACACCATTGAGTTTGTATAGAGCCGAAAAATATAAAAACAAAGCACGATTCAATACAGTTATGATAAAACTTTAAGATTTAATATTCAAACGCGGAGTCATCCTATACACTTCTATAATTTTCCGTTTGCTGTGTATGGATGCGAAGGATGAGTTATTTTACTTAAATGACAATAATATTTTAGGTTACAGTAAATTTGATTTGTCCCTTTACTAGGACAGACAAAAATCAATCCATTTTTTATTTTTTCAGTTAATTATTGGCAACTTTGGATTGAGTTACGAACAAAGCAAAACCCAAATGGCCATATGGGCTATATTAGCTGCACCTCTTCTAATGTCAGTGGACTTAAGAACCATAAGACCTGAGTACAAAGCCATTCTGCAAAACAGAAAGATCATTGCAGTGGATCAGGACCCTCTGGGTATACAAGGAAGGAGAATATACAAGGTAAAAAAATACCTTTAAAAAACATTTAAGAACATTCTTTTTTAGCATAAAGGTATTGAAATCTGGTCGAGACCTATCACGCCTCTATACCAAAACTATTTTTCGTACGCCATCGCTTTTGTGAACAGGAGGACCGATGGAACGCCGTCAGATGTCGCTGTTACGTTAAAGGAACTCGGTCTGACGTCACCCACAGGTTACAGAGTAGATGTAAGTAAAAATGACTGTTACAGGTTTTTTTTTAATAATTCAGCAAATTACTTGTTGTCTGTCTTGAAGTTAGGACTTTAATTGAGATTGTTTTGGTCCGTCTCAAATATAATATATTATATTATGTCATGTAGGTACGTCTGTTATTTTTTCGTTTTAATCACTGGTCATTATCTTGTGATGTGACTGCTTGAGTTGAAAAAAACGTTCTTGTGAGAAACGTATAATGTGGCCACTTTCACGTTTAATTGTTTGGCATTTATTAAAGCATTTTACGTAATTTTCAGTAAATACTATGTACTTATGGTAACAATATTAGTGTGTTTATCAGATTTCTATTTGCTTGTTTGTTAATGTTTTAAAAAATCTAAAACGTTATTATTAAGTTATTTTGTTTTTTGTATGCATTCATTAACCTTCAAAAAGCACTAAATATGTTTTATTTCCTTTAAAAATGTGTCAAAATATGGTATTCACAAGTAATAAATATTTAAAACTTTACGTAGGTACGCAATTAACAAATCATAATTTTAATAAAATGTTTAGTTACCTAAGTAAAAAATGTCTAGGATGCTCTTTAACATTTTTATATGGTCAATGAAACATAACAACGATTTCTTATATTGGCAATAAAATATTTTTTAAACAATAATTGAGCAGTGTGTTTCTCAGAAATCAATTTAAAAATCATTCAAGTCAATGGGTCAATGAATGGAGTGTATAATTACATTGGTCAACAGCATGTTCAGTCCAAGTATATGTTCATCTCACCATTCCGCAAGTATAGATAGGTACTTTTTATTTAAGGATTGATTTATTCTTATTTGTAAGTTAAATTAATACTTATTTGAAGGATATAGGGAGTTGAATGCAAGAACTAACTTATACTTATTTGGATATAATTTCAATGCTATGTGCAAGGGTAAACTTATTCTTATTTCAAGAAAAACTATCCTATACAATAAGTATTTTTTGATACAAATGTTGGAATTCTTGGCGATACAATATTTACTTTTGGATTAAATATAAGGTATCTTTATGTAAGTTAGGCAATAATTGTTTTAAATATTGTCTATTCTTTTTTTAAATTTTGCTTGACTTTAAATAAACGTTAGGATATAATGACCATGTTTATTTCAAAAGGTAAAGAGTTGATTATGCTATCTCTTTCTTATACTGATAGAGAAAAATATATTGGATAATAGACCAGTGCAGAAGCCTTTAAAAATGGTAAAAAGAGAAAAAAAATAACAGTAGGATGAAACCCATTGGAAAAGGAGGGGAGTATAATAAATATTAAAGGAAAAATAAATTACGGGCGATCTGAGTTCGGGAAGTGGGAGTGGGGGGGGTTTTAAGGGTAAAAAATGGTTTATCTCGATTTCCGGCAAAACTACAAGTCCTGTGGAAAAAAGTTAAATGTCAAAGTTGTAGGTAATAAAAAGATCTACAACTTTTGTATTTACAATTTTTTCACATAACCTCAAAATTTATGTGAAAAATTCAAAAAACCAAGTTTTTGGTTTTTTATTTTTATCTTTTTCAAAAATAAATTTTTTTCCACAAAATTTGGTGAAAACTTACCTTTTTATGTCCCAAATACACTGTAATTTATTTGATTTGAAATATTTATTATTTCGCCTTATTTTGACTTAATATCAAAAAAGCACCCTAATTTTCAATCGAAAATTCTCGCGTCAAAATATCAGCTTTTTTCAAAAAGTCGGTGTGCTTTTTGTTCGATGAGCTCTCTACTTTCTGATGGTGTAAAAAAAAAATATACATTACTATGGTAAATGTTCTCAGAAAATACAAAAAATATTATAATGAATAACGTAATCAGAATGAAGTATCTAAATTCAATAGTATGATTTACATGTATTTTTATATTTTATGAGATTTTCTGACATAAATGTTATTAGAATTTAATAAATAAACTTTTTAACTAAAAAAAATTGCAACAATCACATTTTTTTGATGAAATTGTACATAATGATTAAAATAAATTTTCGAATTCGAGTTTTTTTCGTTATTCATTATAATATTTTTTGCATTTTCTGAGAACATTTACCATAGTAATGTATATTTTTTTTACACCATCAGAAAGTAGAGATTTCAACGAACAAAAAGCACACCGACTTTTTGAAAAAAGCTGATATTTTGACGCGAGAATTTTCGATTGAAAATTAGGGTGCTTTTTTGATATTAAGTCGAATTCGACTTAATTTCGAAATAAGGCGAAATAATAAATATTTCAAATCAAATAAATTACAGTGTATTTGGGACATAAAAAGGTAAGTTCACCAAATTTCGTGAAAAAGATAAAAATAAAAAACCAAAAACTTGGTTTTTTTGAATTTTTCACATAAATTTTGAGGTTATGTAAAAAATTGTGATTACAAAAGTTGTAGATCCTTTTATTACCTACAACTTTGCCATTTTCCATAGGACTTGTAGTTTTGCCGGAAATCAAAATAAACCATTCTTTACCCTTAAACCCCCCCCCCTCCCACTTCCCGAACTCAGATCGCCCGTAATTTATTTTTCCTTTAATTTTTATTATATTCTTCTCCTTTTCCAATGGGTTTCATCCTACTGTTATTTTTTTTGGTTTAAAAAATTATCGACCCTGGTCTATAACCCACTCTTTACCTTTTAAAATAAACATGGTCATTATATACTAACCTTTAAAGTCGAGCAAAAGTTAAATAAAGAATGGACAATATTTAAAAAATTATTGCTTAACTTAACCTGAAAAAATTGATATTGGTCTATAGCATTGTCTTTATTACATAACTTTTTTGCAATGTTTTAAATACCTATCTACCTTTATGTATAATATATACTGCAATGATTTTTTCAAACCTTCAGACACGTTGATTTTGTTTGCGAGACGGACATTTTTTGGCTATATTGGCCTGTTTAACCAAAATTTTTATTCGTACCTATAATCTAGAGGTAAAATATATGATTGTTTTTATGTGATTCTTCGGCCAACCTAATATCACCTCAATTCTATCAAATTCTACTAATTTTGCAGCTCTTTTAAGAAACAATCTTTCAAAATGTCGGACACTTTCGTGAGTGGGGGATATTTTTAAGAATAGGCCAGTCGTACCAATATTTACTAATCTTAGAATAAATATAATTATATTTATACCCAGTATAGTTTTATATCTTTAAGAACAGAATAGAGGAAATTTTCCAAAATTTGGTCTAATCGATTGTTAATCTTAAATTAAGAATAAGATTATTTCATTTAAAGTCTTTCTTAACATTTAACAGGCAAGACAAAGATCTGAGATTAATATTTAGTTTAATGTTAGTTTTAGCATTGACAATATATATATGAAAAAAAACAAGATGATTGACCTAATATTAGGTCAATCATCTTGTTTCAACTGTACTTGATTTTAAGCTAAGAAATAAAATCTTTTAATTTAAGGATAGGTTAATATTTAAAAGGAATTGAATGTATCTAACCTCAAGTCGCAACCCATTTATGAGGATTCTGTGGTAACGTCCTGCAATGAAAACCGTTGCAATCTTATCATTTTAACATTGCAAATTGCGTTTGGGTTACGTAAACGATACTTCGGTCCATATTTGAAGCCTACGGCATTTCGCAATTATGATTTACGATGCCAGGCGCCAAATCAAGATGCCATGGTTTCTCCTGCACGACCTTGATCCGATAATGTTACGTTTACCACTCGTAATATCGTTTTTAATGCTAATAAGGAAGTTTACTTTTGTAGAGCAAAGTAAAGTGCCCCCAAGGTGTGGTTTAACATTAAGATTTTTTATTAAGCAATAAATATAAAATGTTTAATAGCTGGTTTATTAAGTATATTTATTGAATTGCATTTTTCTTGTCGCAGGATCTCTACGAGGACGTTGACTATGGCGTTCTGTCTCCCCAAACCAAAATAAAAGTGAAAGTTAATCCATCAGGTGAGTTATCAAATAATTAGAGTGGATAATTAATATTAGGTTTTTTATACTGGTTGTTGAAATTAAGTAATATACCCAGATAGCACAAGATAACCCACAGACGTCCTATTTAGGTAATTCTCGGCTGAGCCAGACCGAACGGGTCTGGGACATCCATAGAACGTCAAGTCTAGACCCTGTCCGGCTTAGCCTGATTAGGCGTATTTTGGACGTCCAAAGTAAGCCAAATAAGGCTTAGCCGGACCAGGTCTATAATTGACGTTCTATAGATGTCCCAGACCCGTTCGGCCTGGCTAAGTCGAGAATTACCTAGATTGGACGTTCCTGCTCACACAGCACAGGATGTCCAAATGACGTCCATTGGACATCCTTTGGACATCTTGTACTATGTGGGCTATCATGCCTAAACTTTTCGTTCAAGAAATTTCGGATATGTAATAACTTGTGGGTAATATTAAATATCATGTACAAATTATATAAACCACCTATTTTTATGAGGTTTCTCTTTTGCCTTCTTTGGATGTTCGTGGGACAGCCTGAGGGTGTCACAGAGAGTCAATCAAATCGATTAGCCTTATTATAAGAAAGATTAATTTACAAAAAAATTAAGTTTATTATTGAATATAGGTAGTTTATAATACATATTCGTACTATTCGTCGGGATTTATACATTTATATTTAATTTAAAATTTCTTGTTATCACGTAAAGGTAGTAAAATCCATTATTGCATCAATTTTAAATTCAATTAAATTCTATTACCATTGATTAATAAGTTCACTACTTCTTTACTCAACGCTATAACGTTTAAATGTATAAAAACACCGTTATTATAACGTATAGTTTTAAATTTTAAACATCGGTCTTCTTCGGGTAGAACCGAACGTGACGACGCTTCCCATAATCCGTTGCAATGGCGTTCTTTTGCTGTGTGATGGCGTTTATGGCGGTGTTTCTACATTGTGTGTTGTGATTTCTACTAGGTATTGGCTGTTTATAGACTTAAGTCAATTGTAATAGAATAAATTCAAGTAAGTAATTAGATTAGGTTTGTTTTGACTAATAGACTGTACCACACAAACAAAATTTACGGTTGCACTGATAATAATTATCAGTTATCAATTATTGGGCGTAAACAAATCGTGAAAACAAGGATTTAAAAAAAAATATTTTATAAAAACACATTTTTATTGTTTTTAGTTTCCAAGGGATTTCTTTCTATACTTTCTAAATTTTATTTTATCCTCCCAAAGCCCTACATCAAAATTTTACAACAACCAAACTACAAAGTGAGGTTATCATTTTTATTGTTATCTAGAAAAGCTTTTATTCCTATTTAACCGTGAATTTTTTTTATGTGGTGCTCATGAGCTCATATACCGTTTCTTTATTTGCAAGCTATACATAGCCTATGTCATAGGGAAAATACATTGTAGGTGGACCAGACAAGTTGAAGTCAGCGCAAAGCAAGGAATGTCTGAATTTCGAATTTACCGGCAGTGGACGTCCAATGGATGTCATTTGGACACTGAGATGTCCAGGGGATATCCTTTGGACGTCCTCTGGACATTTGTACTGTAATTATAATATAGGTGAATAAAAATGTTTGGTTAAAAATTTTAGGTGTTTTAGTTTTTATTCCTGTCAGCCAAATTATGGCCAAATTTGGTCCTAGGACAGTCTTTAATAGACCATTATAGGACGGCCAAAGGACAACCAAAAGTGTCTACTTTGGAAGTCCTACGGACGTCCATTCGTGGTCTTCGGATATCCGTAGGACGTCCACTATGTCCTGGGTTGACGTCCTAAGGATATCCAGTGGACGTATGTGTGCTATCTGGGTATTAAAATGGGTCCATAAAAAAGCACCTGAAACTTTTTTCTTTTAAAATCTAAAGACTAAAAATAATTTATAATAACCTTTATCCTACCAAAAAAGTTTTTAAAAGTAAAAAAAAACAGAAAAAAAGTATTTTTTGTTTTTTAATAATAATAATAATAATTTTTAATTGATAATTAGTAATGAAAGATCCTTCAGGAATTTCGAAAACTTTCTAGGAGATAATTTGAGGGAAATTAAAAGTTTTACAAAATAATTTCTGTCAAATTATTCTAATAAAAGCAAAAAATTGCGATGTTTGACAGCATTTTTTTCGTCTTTATTACAATATTTTCAATATAAATTAAAAAAAAAAGAAATAAACAAAACAGAAAAATGTAAAACCCAAAAGAGATTCAAAATTAAAGAAAAAGTATTATTAGTAAGACTTTCTTCTCAAGAAATAAAACACAAAAAAAAACATTTAAAACATGATCTTGATTTTTTTTCCGATTTTTTGACATTTTTTTAACTTTTTGGTTTTGACTTTTTTTAAAGATAAAATTTAAAAAAATATAAACATATGTGGGTTGTTTTTAAAAAACACCCGCCTTCCGCTGTCCGTAAGTTTGAATTCCAATGACTTTGTTAAAAATTATCGGATCTTATTGATTTAAAAACCAAGTGAAAGCCTAACAAGCTCTTAGTAAACTCTTTCAGAAAATGTTTATTTAGTTATTCGAGAATATTTTTTTTTAATTTTGAAACTTGTGAAACAGACATTTTATAAAACTTACATACATTTTTTATTAATATTGAATAACCAGAACTTTGTGTTGCTTTATAACAATCCATAACATCCTTAGTTAATACAATAAATAATTTATATATAAATTAATTAATTTTAATATACTTTTTTTTAAATTTGACTTAAGTCCCAGACATTTTTTCCGTTGCGTTACATCCGTCGCGTTACCGATAGAATATTAAAAAAACATATATATGGCAATTTTTTTGGCACTCACGTGATCAACAAATGATGTTGGAACGTACAAATTACACAGCTAAATTTATTTATTCAATCAGGAAAAAGATATCGGTTGAAACAAGTGCGGGTAACGCGAATGTAATAATTGTTTGTCCGCTAAGTTACTCAAAAAAAAAAAATAATGTAAGAAAAAATACTATTTTTCATGTTAATGTTTATTTTAGGGCACTAAAGCTCATTGAGAATAATTAATGACTGTAATGTCTAATTATTATTTTTTAAATATGGTTTCACAAACCTTTTTCCACTGCGTTACCAAGTCCATTATGTTACCTCGGTAACGCAATGGAATTTAGGGTAACGCAATAGAATTTTTCGACAACAAAGTGGATATTTACCGTCGCTTTTATTAAAAATAGTTTATGATAAACCAATTTAAAATTATTTGTGATTACAACTCATGATATAGATTACATCCATGGATCCAAGGGAAAATTCCATGCAATATACAAGTACCTTCACCAGCTTATAGTAAAAAAAAGGGTGTCTACAATTTAGAAATCTAAGTTGTTATTGTGCAAGTGAGCACCACTACACACATTACTCTAAAATCGTACCACCCTATATAGTTTCTTTTTTACGTTATCTAATTAAGTCCTTTGTGTACCCCAGTCCGTTGTGATACCAATGTCTATTTCGTTACTTTTTTTAGTTTTTGTTAAAAAAAATACTTAAAATGATTTTTATACACTATCACTTGGTAATACGTGTTTATAAATTAGAGTTTAACTCACTAATACAGTGACTAAAAGAAAATATTAATAGTATTGTTTTTTTTAACAAAGAATCGGAATGGTTTCTTTTAAAAAGTAACTTAACGAACATAAATATTTAAAAAAAGCATACAATTTTTAATAAAAAATAAAATAAAAAATTGGAGTCAAAAGTTTGTGAACTAAGTACATTTTAGTTCAAATTACTTTTATAACAACTTTTTTTTATTGAATTAAATTTTGGATTTCAAATTGGTAACACAGTGGAGATATACATATTAAGCTAGCTAAACACTTTTTTCTGAAAAAAAAACGTAAAAAAAATTTAAAAGTGCACTGCCTGTTTTAAATGTAAGTAAACAAAACTCTAAACATTTATAAAAATCCAACCAAAAGTCAATTTAAGCAAAAAAAAATTTGATCTTCATTTTCCCATGTATATTATTTTTTTAAATTTTTTTACGTCTATACTTTTTTTTAAACTGTTTTTAACTTTTTTTTAACTACTTTGACTTCTTTTTAACTTTATACTTATGAGTTTTTTGAGTTATTATTTTGACTTGTGGGTACTTTGTATCTTTTAATTATTTGGACTTTTCTTTTGACTGAATTTTGTGTCATCTGGTATCACCAAGAGTTTTTTTTCATCATTTGAAACAATATTTTCGATATAAATTTTGTATAAAAATAAACAAACCAGAAAAATTTAAAAAAACATGTTTTTATATAGATTTTTGTTTTTTTAGTTGTTTTTTAATTTTGACTTTTAATGAATATTTTTTTATAAAAATTAACAAACAAAAGTCATTTAAAAGTAAAAAAGTTTCCTGTTTTTGACTTTTTGGTTTTATGAATTTTTTTAAATAAAAGTAAAAAAATATATTCCGTGAAAAATGGTTATTACAAAAGTGTTTTTTCACTACCATTGCAAAATATTGTCATTATTTGTTTTTTCCTATATAACGATGCCATCATAACCTAACAGGAAATATTGAACTTATTATTCCCGTTGTTAGGCATCAGTGATTGGCCAATTTCATTATTCACTGTGATTTCGACCAATCGGATAATTGCAATTCCAAAAATATCACAGTCGCCCCTGGTATAATAAATAATGTCTGACATCTGTCAAATGATCTAACCTTACTTTTTAATTTGTCCTTTTTATACGCTTCCATCGCTAAAAAATAAACTAAAACTGTTTAATTTCTAGGTGTTGTCATCCTGCGCGCCGACGTGCAGTCCGACTACAACCGAAGAGTTCCTTACTACAGTACGACGCAAAAAAGTCCGTACAACCCCTTGAACCAAGTTTTCAGAGTTCGAAACAACGGATTCTAGGATCGGGAATTTGTGCATTTTGTTTAGATAGTTAAAAGATAATAAATTATTAAAATTTAGCTCTTAGGTACTGGTTGTATTATATTTTTTAATTTTTATAAAAACAAATCAGAAATAGGTATACTTTTTTTAAGCCAACAAATATTGGTACGAGTTATTTCCTATTGTTATTGTTACCGTCAGCCCGCGAACGTTCTTCTTGAATCTTGTGCACGATAATTTGCACTCTATAGATTCACCTGAAATACAAAGAAATAATTATAAATTTCGTAAAGTACTGTTAAAAAAATTACAAATGTTTTAAATAAACTTTATTTTATTTTATTTATGTTTTATTATGTCTAAAAAAATTTTTTAAATTGCGCTCACCCACGGCGTTCTCCATAGAATAGAGAACGCCGTGACTCACCTCTTTTTAATTCGACTGTTTCCTTCAGATAAAAAACCGTCTGCTGCCAGTGCGTCTTGGTAGCATGTGGCCCGGTGGAAAATTCCACCGTATTCGGCAGCTCGAAAAAGGTGTCAAAATACCCGGCCAATGCCGTCAAAGTACCGTCCGAGTTGGCTGTCAAGTTGAACTTCGACGTGAACTCGCAAGCGGTGGTGTCGCATCTCGTCAAGTCGATGTCCGTCACCACTACCGAATTTGTGAAAATTGTATCGCTCGGTACCACTTCCACGAACGCTTCGGAAATGACGTCGTTTTTCATGCATCTCATCGAGAAACCGTACACGTCGTCCCAAAAGTTTACAACGTTGTCATATCTCTCTAAGGAAAATTAAAAAAATTCCTGTAACTAGATTTTGAGGGGGGCTTCACTTACTTGTGTCGGATATTCCGACTACACTGATGTTGCAACGGTTCGGTAGAAGATGTCCGCCTTCCTTTAAGTATTTATCTCTAGCGTAAATAAAACTGTCCAACATTCCCTCAAACAGCAAGAAATATCCCATCCATTCGGAAACGATTATGTCCACTTTTTCCACCGGTAGATTTATTTGCTCAAGTTTCCCTTTTATTAGCTGTATTGTGTCTTGCAAGTTATTTTCTCTAAGTTTAAAGAATAAATTAATTAAAGGCACGATTTTTTATTTTAACATTTTTGTCTTTTTTAAATTTCGTTAGAGCTAATTTGACTTTTTTTGACTTTTTATGATTTAGGTATTTCATATTTATGTCTCTTTTTAAATTTTTTGTGCTTTCTTTACTTTTTACTATTGTGGAATTAATTTTACCTTTTGTCTATTAAGTAAAATGGACTTTTTATACTTTTTTTAAATTTTTAGGACCATTTTGACGTTTTTTGATTTTTTATTTTGCCTTTTTAACTGCATTTTAATTATTTTGGCTTTTTTGGCATCTTTTTTATACTTTTTCTAACATTTTTCTTTTGAGTAAAAAACTTGTAACTTTGGTGTTATTTGTGATCAAATTGCGATCACCAATGTATGATTATATTTCAACAAATTATTAAGCAAACATTTCTTCACAAAATACTTTTGGTTTGACCAAAAAATCTTCTAAATTAAAAAAGATATCGTCATAATATTTAAAAATTTATTTAAAAAAAATGTAACACAAAAAAAGTTGTAACTTTGGCGACATCTGTAGTCAAAATGCCATTACCATTTTAAAATTTTATTTCACCAAATTATTAAGCAAACATTTCTTCGCAAAATACTTTTTGTTTCACCAAAAAATCTTCTAAATTAACAAAGATATCGTATATTTAAACATTCATTTAATAAAATGTAAGGCGAAAAAAAAGTTGTAACTTTGGCGTCATCGGTAGTAAAAATGCCATCACCAATTTAATATTTTTGTTCACCAAATTATTAAGCAAACATTTCTTAAAAAAATACTTTTTGTTTGACCAAAAAATGTAAGACGAAAAAAAGTTCTAACTTTGGCGTCATCTGTGGTGAAAATGCGATCACCAATTTATAATGTTATTTCAACAAATTATTAACCAAACATTTCTTCACAAAATATTTTTTGTTTTACCAAAAAATCTTCTAAATTAACAAAGATTTCGTCATATTTAAAAATATATTTAAAAAAATGTAAGACGAAAAAAAGTTGTAACTTTGGCGCCATCTGCAGTGAAAATGCCATCACCAATTTATTATTTTCTTTTACCAAAATATTAAGCAAACAATTCTTTACAAAATACATTTTGTTTGACCAAACAATCTTAATTAAAAAAATATGGTCATAATTTAAAATATTTCTAAGAAAATGCTTTTTTCAATATTTTTTTGAAGCCGCGGGTATTCAGCAAGTAAAAAATAAATCCAGAAGAAATCAAAACATTGCCTACCTTATTATGTCCATGGCCTTGTAAATAACTTCGGATTGGTCGATTCCAAAAACCCGGGAAGCCCCGGACTTTGCGGAAAACATCGATAAAATCCCCGTACCGCAACCGAGATCCAATACTTCTTTGCCTTTAAAAACTTCCGAATTATTTAATATGGCGTCTCTATAACTGAACGTTCTAACTTTATCCTGAAAGATAAAAAAAATATTAATAAAACATATTTTTGTTCACAAATTAAAATCTTACGTCCAACATCTCATGGTGTATGCCGAAATGAGAGTAGGAGTTGAAATATTCGCCGTCACTGCCCGCAGGTAAGTTTATCACATTGTGGGGGATTTTTTTTAGGTTGGCATCGCCACTTTCCACGATTGTCCTGGTTACTTCCTTCATTTTTTGCATATCTTTCATGGCGTTTTCCAGCAGGGTGTCTTTTTGTCTCAACTAAAGTAAATAAATAAAAATAGTCGTTTTCGTGTGTTAATTTACTTAAAATGTACCTGCATATTCAAATGTTGAATTTGTACTTGCAAATCAGAGAAGTTCATATTGCTTAAAGGGGGTTTTCCATCTATAGCGTAGTGCGGTGTAGAAGGGGCTGTACCGAGGTCGTCAAAATCTAAAAAAACAATTTTATTTCGAATAATAATAATAATAACATTGAGAACTAACCATACATTAGCCATGGCTCAACCGTTCCGGTTTTCAAATAAGCATCATCGTCCCACAAAGCCACACTGGATTCAGTTAATATTTTGGGATCAGGTTGTTGCAATCTAATATAATTTATCATTTTGATGTAGGAATAACAATCCATGTTGTATTTTTTCTTCAACGTAAGCAAATCGAAGTTGTGTTCAGTTCGGCAGTGATCTAAAGCCACAGCTATCGTCAAAAATGATTTCGAGCAAAATAGACACGCAGTTTGTTCCCCTGAAACCTCCATTTCGTCCCAACCATCGGAGTCGTCATCTTCTTGCCCGCAAGAGATATCAGCCAATGGGGGTACGTCTAAAATAAAAAAATGAGTTTTAAAACAAAATACAAAGTAAGCAAATAATACACATGATTTATTTTCTTTGTTTTACCTGCTTCTTCAGCCATGTTATTCAAATAATCCCACCAGAAAACATACGCACGTGTTCGACAAATAGCACAATAACTTTAAGGTTAATAAAGTCTATAGTAAATCATAGAAAAAGTAAATCCTCTAAACAAAATGTCCTTTGTTCTGTTATAAACCGGTTATGAAAATTAATTTCGCGTATAAATTAAACTTATCGATTAAAATTCTTTTTCCCTAGATGCGCCGATTTTGACATCTGCAAGAAAACAAATAATTAGGTTATGGCCAACATAACCACCAAAGTGTGACAGACCTCATAACCTCAGTTTGTTTTGATTGTACACGTGCCTAAACCGACGTTTTCAAGCGAATTGTGTGCAGTAAAATGGAAGAAAATAGTGAGTAACAATTTACTTTTCAACAAGTAACATTTAAATCATTAAAATGATGTTTTTTTGTAGCCAAACCGCCTAAAAACGAGGCAGTAAAGGAAGTGCTAAGACAGCGAAAAAAGCAATCGAAACAAGTTTTAAAAGAGAAACGAGCCCGCTTGATGGTGAAAAACCTGCCGTTTAAAGCGACAGAAGAGAATCTGAAAGAACACTTTGAAAAATACGGCGAAATTAAAAGTGTCAAACTGTTAAGAAAACCAGATGGAAAGTTGGTTGGTTGCGGGTTTGTGCAGTTTGCTTTTGTGCAAAAAGCGGCCAAAGCCAAACATTATACCAACCACCAACCGTTTTTGGGGAGAAATATACTCGTTGATTTTGCTTTGTCGAAAGATAAGTTTAAGAAGCAAAAATTGAAAAAAGAAAAGGAAGTTAAAACTGAGATAAAACAAGAGGATGTGGAAATAAAAGAAGCAGAAGAAATTAAAGAAAAAATTGACATAGATGAAGATACAAAGCCTCTGGATCTGGATTCAGAAAATGAAAGTAACAGCGAAGATGAAAATTTAGACGATGATGATGATATTAAAGAAGAAAATGATGACGTTGAAGAAATAAAACCTAAAGTGATTTCAAATGATGTCAATGAAGGAAAAACAGTATTCATTAAAAATGTTCCATTTGCTGCCACAAATGAAGATGTTAAATTGTGCATGAGTCAATATGGTCCGATTTATTATGCTTTGGTTGTTATGGATAAAATTACTGAACATTCTAAGGGTACTGCTTTTGTAAAATTTAGGGTAAGTTCGTTTGGAAACCAATTCTATACAAAATAATGCAACTTTGGTATCATCTGTAGTAAAAATGCGATCACCAATTCATGATTTTCTTTTACCAAATTATTAAGTAAACATTTCCTCACAAAATGCTTTTTGTTTTGCCCAAAAATTTTCAATTATCATATTTAAACATAATAAAATATAAAACGAAACAAGTTGGTGATATCTGTGGTCAAAATGACATCACTAATTTATTATTTTAATTTATTAAATTATTAAGCAAACATTTCTTCATAAAATACTTTTGGTTTCACCTAAAAATGTCCAATATTAACAGTGAGATTTTCATCTTTATACATACAAATATATTTAATAAAAATATAAAACCAAAAAGTTGTAACCATAGTGATAGCTGTGGTGAAAATGCGATCACCAAATTATTAAGGACACGTTTCTTCACAAAATGCTTTTTGTTTGACTCAAAAATATTCTAAAGTAACAGAAATATTGACATATTTATGATATGTTTGATAAAATATTAAACAATACAACAGTTGTAACTTTGGTGTTATCTGTGTTTAAAACGCAATCTCCAATTTATGAATTTCTTTCACCAAAATATCAGGCAAACATTTCTTCACAAAATGCTTTCTATTTGACTCAAACATCTTCTAAATTAACAGAGATATTGTCATATTTAAACATACAAACATGTATTTGTTAAAATATTAAACAATACAAAAGTTGTAACTTTGGCGTTATCTGTGTTTAAAACGCGATCACCAATTTATGATTTTCTTTCACCAAAATATCAGGCAAACATTTCTTCACAAAATGCTTTTTGACTGAAAAATCTTTTAAATTGACAGAGATATATTTAAACATACAAGTACAGTTGTAACTTTGGTGTCATCTGCGGTCAAAATGCCATCACCAATTTATGATTTCCTTTTATTAATTTAATATCAAAAGTTGTAACTTTGGTGTCATCTGCGGTCAAAATGCCATCACCAATTTATGATTTCCTTTTTTTAATTTAATATACAAACATTTCTTCACAAAAAACTTTTTGTTTGGCTAAAAAATCTTCAAAATTAAAAAATATATCGTCATATTTAATAAAATTTAACGCAAACTTCAAGAAACACAACCTGGGGCTTAAAACCAATCATAGCATGACATTATTCACTTCACACTTGATTGTGACATTTAATGCCATGATCTTTTATATTTGACATTCTTCATTTAAAATTGTAAATGTTTTATTGTAAAAATTACAAAATAATCAGGTATTTTACAATAATTCTTTTTTTAGAACAAAGAGGATGCTGAAAAGGCTTTGCAAGCTGGAACAGAATTAACTTTAATGGGAAATACTTTGGATTGTCATCCAGCATTGCAAAGAGGAGAGGTAGAGCAAAAATTGACAGATAAAAAAGAGAAAAAAAGTGAACCCAAGGATTCAAGAAACTTATATTTAGTTAAAGAAGGAGGTAAATATGAGTTTTTTTTGTTGAATTAACTTCCAATTTTGCTAATTTTTCATGAAGTTTTATCCAAATTATATGAATTATTGATTATTCTTGAATAAAACTGATTGTATTTTTTTAGTTATCTTGGCTGGTACAAAAGCCGCACAAGGCGTATCAGCAAGCGACATGGCAAAAAGGCTTCAGCTAGAACAGTACAAAACCCAAATGTTACGAAATTTGAATATGTTCGTATCGAAGGAAAGAATAGTAATTCACAATTTACCCGCCACGTGGGACGACAAAAAGCTAAAAATATTAGTCGAAAAATATGCCGGTCAAGGCGCCGTATTCAGAGAAGTGCGGACAATGAGAGATATGAAAAATGTGGACGCTAAAGGCGTGGGTGCATCGAAAGAGTTCGGGTTCGTAACTTTCACAAAACACGAACACGCCCTGAACGTTTTAAGAGCCCTAAACAACAACCCGAACATATTTTCGCCGACCAAAAGACCCATCGTTGCGTTCTCCATCGAAAATAGGGTCATGGTCAATGCGAGACAAAAACGAATGGAAAAATCCAGGCAAAAGAATCCCAAGCACAAGGATTACAACCCGGAGCTGAATAAAATCGAAGATGAGAGCAAAAAGAGGAAATTTGAAGTCGAGGAAAATCTGCAGGAGTTTTCTGGGGTGCCGGCGAAACCGGGGCCGCAAAAGATGCGGTCGAGGTACAAGTTATCGACGCAAGCCAAGTTGCATCACGAGAACCTGAAGAAGGAAAAGAAGAAAAAGAAGTTCGCCAAGAAATCCCTCAGCGAGAAGAAGCAGGAATTCACGAAACAACCCAGGCAAAAAATAAACCAAAAGAAAGGCAACGATCGCGATGACTTTTCCAAGTTGGTTAGTGATTACAAGAACAGGTTAACTAGTGGTCCTTTTCCTACAAAGGCCAAATGGTATGAGTGAGATAAAATTGTTTAGCTTGTAAATAAATGGTTTTATTAAATATGTGTTTTTGTATATATATTTAAACATATATTTAAAAAAATGTATGACGAAAAAATTATTTAACTTTGGCGTCATCTGTGGTCAAAATGCCATCACCAATGTATGAGTTTCTTTCACCAAATTATCAACATTTCTTTACAAAATAATTTTTGTTTGGCCCAAACATCTTTTAAATTAACAAAGAGATCATTTTTGAAAGCAAAAATGGTAAATATTATTTTTTTAAAGAGTAAAAATTAACTTTGGTGTCTGTAGTCAAAATGCGATCACCAATTTATGATTTTCTTTCACTTAATTATCAAGAAAACACAGAATGTTAATTTTTTACTTAAAAATCTTAATTAACAAAAATATCGTTATATTTAAATAAATAAACATATTTTTAATTAAATGTAACACAAACAAAAACCTGTAATTTTCGTGTCATCTGTTGTCAAAATGCGATCACCAATTTTTTTGTTTCACCAAACATTTCTTTACAAAATAATTTTTGTCTGTCCCAAAAATCCTCTAAATTAACAAATAAATCATCATTTCTGTAAGCAAAAATGGTAAGTATTAATTTATTAAAGATTAAAAAAAATTAACTTCAGTGTCATCTGTACTCAAAATGCGATCACCAGTTTGATTTTTTTCACTAAATTATCAATGAAACATTTCATTTTTGTTTGACTCAAAAATCTTCTAAATTAACAAAATTATCGTCATATTTAAATATATAAACATATATTTAATAAAATGTAACAAAAACCTGTGATTGTCGTGCCATCTGTGGTCAAAATGCGATCACCAATTTATGATTTTATTTCGCCAAATTATTAAGCAAACATTTCTTCACAAAATACTTTTTGTTTGGCCCAAAAATCTTCTGAATAAAAAAAAAATTCGTCATTTAAAAATTTATTTAAGACATTATTTTCAAGTTTCCATTAATTATTTGTGTTTTTGTGGCCAAAATTAATATAATATACAGTCAGTGATAAAAACATGTACATTGAGAAAAAGAAGCTTTTCGACGATATATAAATACTCAATAACAAACAGTGTTCTGAACGAGTACTGGCTGATGTGCTGTTTTTGGGGGTTTTGGATTTATTTGTAAATCCAGGAATAAATTCTTCTTCTACTTCTTCCACAAATACTTCATCCGCAACATCCTTTGATGCCAAGTAATCTTCTTCCGATTGGCCTCCTTCGGGCCAGATCGCAATGTAAGATGACACGCGCGGTGCAGGGAAGGATTTTCCGCACAAGTTCGGATATTCATCGTTGGGTGGTTCCCCTGCGGAGCACTTTGAGGCCGGCGGCCCATCATTCCAGAGGTCATCGGGAAGTATGGGTTCTGGAAGTACGCACATAAGATAATACTCCACCTTGCGAGATGCAGTATACTTCCGAGTGTTGAATGAACAACCGATTTTATTGTTATTTTTTTTCATGATATCGCATCTCTCACCCTGCATATCGCATTCGTATTCCATTCTTTTTTCTATTTCTATCTGATCAAAAATATCTAAAAATACCTTTGAATTGTAGTAAGTTAGGTTTTTGAAATATATATCTTTTACGATTGGCTGCGGCCAATAGGGTAATCGCGTACATATGTCCCCAGTGCCTGCAACCTGGTTGTTAATACACTGCGCCAAATACTCCAGCTTTAAGTCGTAGTTGACGGCAGTAATGTCGGGCAAATAATCCTCTTCAGCTCTTGAATTTCTGAAGAAGTTCATGGCGTCCACGACCACTTGACGCCTACCCGCGTCCAGTTTTTCCATATGACAGTAGTAATCAGGACGACATCGATTATTGCAAAGATAATTCGGTACATCTGGATTTCCCTTAGCCGAACAGTTTAAGCTGCAGTAGTCATCTTTGACGAAAATTTCTTGAGCCTTGAGGCTCAATTCAAAGATTGAAAATACTATTAATGCTTGAAAATATGAAAGCATCTTTAACATTTAAAATTTAAAATTAATTGACAATATTTTGTTGTCATGGGGAAAAACTGTAGAGAAGTTATCGACTATGGTAAAGTTCATTTTTTTTATCTAGACTGCGGCAACGTTGCAAATTTAGGGTTTTGGTTGGTATATATATATTTATATATTTATAAATACGGAACCAAAATTGGTTTCATTGATTAAAACAAACTAAACTATAGTCACGGCCAAATCTATATGGGTGCACGTCATCAATGAGATATAATGACGTCAGCATTACCAACTTTGAATTGTAAAGTTACTGCCGTTAAATTTGCTTTTTTAAGGCGTAATTCTGATGTGTTATTAAAAAGAAATCATTCATTTGCGTATTGTTTACCAAGAACTGTAACAATTTCCTTGTTTTAAAACGTTTTTTCACGAAATTATCAAAATAAAACCATTCACTTAGTAATTTTTGTGTGTGCCAGTTGGTAATAGCTTAAGGCTGGCGCGCACCGTTCAATATTATTGATGGGTCGCTGTCATTTTATATTTGACGTATTTTTGTAATTGTGACATTTCGTCCGGAAGCATCGTTTGTTGCAAATTATTATAAATAATATTATACATTATGTTTATAAGATTCTATCCCTGGATTGTGCAAACAATGATATAAGGCTTGTTGGCAACTAGCTGTTATTAGATTTCGAAGACATTGCGCCCTTAATAATAAATTTGGGGAAATAATCAGACTTCAATTCTGACCTGGTTTGCTCTGATGACAAGGACGACTGGTAATTTATAGTCGTTTTTTCGCGTAAATACCATGAAATACTATGGTCATTAAACTTAACCTTGGTTAATAGTTAAGGCATTTTTGCGTTTAGAGTGCGTTCAAAAATCCTAACTATGACGTCACAAATACCAGACCATAAAACTATATCGCTGAGCTAGTTATTCAACGTGGTTAATAGTCTTTTTCTTTTTAATATATATATTTAATATGTTTATGTAGGAATAATGTTCTGTGCTAAACATATCTTCCCCAAAACATACCGCCAACCTTCGTCTTTTTCTTTGGGGTTCCATTCTAAATTTTGAGTTTCACAATAATAATTTTCGTATAAACGTTAAACACTGTTGGATTTTAGTTATGGTAAACAACAGGGAAGAACTGTTTATATATAAAAAGAGGTATAGAAAAGGTAGGTATAAGAACTAGGGTTCATAGAAAAAGAATATACAAGGTATACCTTGTATATATAAGCGAGGCAAAGAAATTTATTTACACCTGTAAAAGCATAAAAATTAAATATAAATAGGTAAAAACACATTTCAAAAATTATAGGTTATGAACAAGTAAACAAATGTCAAATGTTAAAAACCTAACCATGGTTATATGAATTAACTGTGACGTCATGACTTATTTAACCGTAGTATTTCATAGTATTTACGCGAAAAAACGACTTATATATTTTGTGCTTCTGATAATTTAGAATTTTTTTGTTATGTGCATATGTAATAAAAATGTAATAAACTCCGTTTGTTTTCTCTTTAAACACATTTAATAAAAATTTGCCTCTAACAAACTCCTAATTAGTTAGTGCAGAAGATTATAACAAGGACGTTATAATTCCATCTTAATAACAGACCCCACCGCTATAAACAGTCAACAATACACGAGCGTTAGATTGGGCACGTATGAATAGACCTTAACGCTGACGTCATATGCCGTTGATGACGTGCACCCATACAGATTTGGCCGTGACTATACAGTGTATTTTTTGAATGTGTGTGATTGCGTCATCAATTGGGTCGTATGAATTAAACCGAAACTAAAATTAGAGTCAGTAGCGTATCATTTTGAAGGGGTCTAAGCATTTATTGTGGGTGTATTTTTGGTTGCCTAATGTCGCCTCATAGTTACGCAACTCAAAATACATACAATTAAACAATAATTCTAATGATAGTTATTTTAACTTTATTAATGTAAATTATGCAAGTTTTATAAACGAATAACAATAAACATACACAATTTTTGTACATAATAATATTATGATAATATTATGTATCTACATATAATATATTATAAGTTAATTAAGACAAAACATTAATTATTAAAATAAAATGTTATAGGAGAACGAAAACAAAATTACTAAAAGTCATCCTCGTCGGAACTGTCTTCTCCGAGGTGGATAACTAGTTCTGGCACGTCATCGACCATCCTTGTCTTTTGGAACCAATCGTCAATTAATTTGTTGGTGTGCCTCACTACTGAACACCAACGTTCTGGCGTGCATTGGTTCAGTGCTTGGCCCCACATTGCTAGCACTTTATTGTCGCCATAGCCGTCTTCCCCCATATGGGAATCATAATATGTTTTAGCCTAAAACAGAATTCGTTGTTGCAAGCGCCCATCTAATTGTTTATATATTTACCTGCGCCCATATAAGTTCAATGGCATTGAACTGGCAGTGATATGGAGGCAGACGCAATACCTTATGCCCATGCTGCTGGAGGTACTCATCAACTTTTTAACGCTTAGGCGGGGTATGATAGCGTGCCAGAAACAGCAATTCCGCTTTAAATATACCTTTAATAAACTGAATATTATGTTCTGTTAGCCACTCTTCTATTTGCTGTTTTTTCTAAGCACTTAAGTGTAATTGTAGGGTGACGCGTGCCAGAAACAGCAATTCCGCTTTAAATATACCTTTGATAAACTGAATATTATGTTCTGTTAGCCACTCTTCTATTTGCTGTTTTTTCCAAGCACTTGTAGGGTGACGCTCAACAACGACGCTGTGGAGCGTTGTCCATCACAATCAGTGAAGGTTCCTTTAACCCTTTAGTGGGAGCAGGAGTCCCCATGCCCCAGTTCCCTTTGAAAATATTGCACTAAATTAATAATAAAACGTTTCTGATTATCGTCGTACCCTTTTTTAATAATTTCTAGAGACATAAATGACTGCACCATTCGACAGGGTCGAGTTTCTACTCCTCTGTTGAATATAGAAAATCAAAATAATGTATCTTGTAAGACACCATTGAGTTTGACTTTAAATATAGTCGTGCATAGGTATAGAGCCGAAAAATATAAAAACAAAGCACGATTCAATACAGTTATGATAAAACTTTAAGATTTGATATTCAAACGCGGAGTCATCCTATACACTTCTATAATTTTTCGTTTGCTGTGAACGTTTGCAAGACATTTTTTAAAACATGTCAATCTCCAAAATCTGTTCTTTAATGCCAAATTACTGTATGAACGCCACTGACTAACCTTGAAATTTTGATAAATTTCGGCTCAATGCCACAACAAACTATACGCGCTCTGTCCTTTTTCAGCACAAGCCGCGTGAGCGCGACATCGGATTGACGTTTGTCATAAATTACGTTTAATTGTGTCGCCATCTGCTGGTTTAGCGGATCCCGATTTACTGTCAGTACTGTCGGTACTGAAAACGCATTCCGAAATCCACTTTCAGTTACTGAGCTCAGTGGTAAATACTACCCTTTTATAAATGTACGGCAGATTAATTTTACTGAAACAACTGGGGACAGAGAGGTGCTGTGGCTCCAGTAAAACACATAACCAAACTTTTAAACAAAAAATATGTGTCAAATAAAGTGAAGGATATAAATTATATCATATAATGGTATTTATGAATACCTATAGGACTAATTATTTCAATATTTATTGATAAAATATTACTTGAAAGTACAAGCAGCAGTGACGAAGGCAGGTCGTCGGGGAGTACGCTTACGAAGACCCAGAATATGAAACTACCTACTATAGTACTACCTACTATAGGTAGTACCTAGAAAATGTTATATATTTGTATTCAGCAGACGAATTTAAGAGTAATTTTTGGTATTTGGCTTATTGTTGTGGTGTCAGTGAAATTTTATATTTCCTATTTCTATATACATTTTTCGACGCGGACGACGATAACATTAAATTTTCTATATTTCTCTGCCATAAACCAAACATTATATATCTTATAACCCTGCTGAAAATGACGGATGATTGCGGATATAAATTCTTCGTCAAAACCGGATAAAAGCAGATGATTGCGGGTATAAATTCTTCGTCGAAGCCGGATAAAAGCGGGTAAAAATATCATCTGATAAGATCTGCTTTTGTCCGCATCGCTATATCCGCGAACACCCGGTTGGTAGTGTTTTATGTCCGGTTAGTGCACCCCCGCAATCATCTGCAATCATCTGTTTTTAACCGTCTTCACTGTGTTTCGTTTATATCTGAATTTGTCCGGAATCATCTGCAAACGTCTGCTTACGTCTGGTTTTATCCGCGATTACCTACATTTTTTTTGCCTATTTTTGTCTGATTTTATCTGCAAACGTCTGGTTTTATCCGCCAACATATGCTTTTATCCGCCAACATCTGCTTCATCCGCAAACATCTGCAATCACCTGCGAACAACTGCTTTTATCCGCGAACATCTGCAATCACCCGCGAAGATCTGCTTTTACCCGCGAACGTCTGCTTTCATACGGTTTCACCCGCAAACATGCTTTTATCTGCGAACGCCTGATATCATCCGGTTAGTGCACCCCCGCATTCACCCGCAAACATCTGCTTTCATCCGCGAACATCTGATTTTCTCCGCCAACATCTGCTCTTATCCGCGAACATCTGATTTCATCCGCGAACATCTGCAGTCACCCGAGAACAACTGCTTTTATCCGCGAACATCTGCATTCACCCACGAACATCTGCAATCACCCGCGAACATCTGCTTTCATCCGCAAACGTCTGGTTTTATCCGCAAACATCTGCTTTCATACGGTTTCACCCAAAAACATGCTTTTATCTGCGAACGCCTGATTTCATCCGGTTATTGCACCCCCGCAAACATCTGCTTTTATCCGCAAAAATCTGCTTTTATCCGCCAACATCTCATTTTATCCGCGAAAATCTGCTTTTATCCGCGAACATCTGTAATCATCCGCGAACATCTGTAATCATCCGCGAACATCTGTAATCATCCGCGAACATCTGCTTTCATCCGCGAACATCTTCTTTTATCCGCAAACATCTCATTTTGTACGCGAACATCTGCTTTTATCCGCAAACATCTGCTTTCATCCGCAAACATTTGCTTTTATCCGCAAACATCTCATTTTATCCGCGAACATCTGCTTTCATACGGTTTCACCCGCAAACATGCTTTTATCTGCAAACATCTGATTTTATCCGCAAACATCT